GCTGTGAAATTGGGGGACACTGGGCAGAGACAGGACCTGCTGTGGAAATTGGGGGAACACTGGGCAGGGACAGGACCTGCTGTGGAAAGTGGGGGACACTGAACAGGGACAGGACCTTCTGGTGAACCTGATGGGACCCTGAGCAGGGGCAGGAACTGCTGCTGAACCTAGGGGACACCAGACAGGAACAGGACCTGCTGGTGAACCTTGCCATCACTGTCAGGGGCATGCCATCATTACTGACTCTTATTCTCACACAGAATATCATCATTCAGCTGTTCCCGAGTGTTTGTGCTCAGCGGGAGCAGAAAGGGAAACCCACAGAGGGGGCTCCTGTGGGAGCTCTGGTCTCTGCCCCTCCCTGCAGTGCTTAAACCCAGATCCAGGAAGGCAGAGCGAGCCCAGGGAGGGGMAGAGGAAGGAACACAAACCTTCACAGCGGGGCTGGGGCCGGCTCCAGGTTCCAGCGGGGGTGCAGCGGAYGGTGGCATTGCCAACCAGGGCATAGCCCTGTGTGCAGGTGTACAGCAGCACCGAGCCCGGGCTGTGCCGGACCCCGGGGCGGCCACTGTGCTGACCATTGGCGATGTTGGGCGGAGAAGGACACCTCACCTCTGCCGGGCAAGGAAAAACGGGTGAGAAATAGGAACAGGGCAAGAAAAACACCCCAAATCCAACCTTTGAAAGCAAAGGAGGGAGACAGCTCCGTTAAGAGCTCTGTGAATGAATATCAGTGGTGTGAGCTGGACCCCATCTGCGGGTGCTGGCCCCACTATAGCCCCTCTGGCAGTGCCACCCGCAGCTCTCTGTGGCTGTCCCCTCTGGCAGTGCCACCCGGAGCTCTCTGTAACTGTCCCCTCTGGCACCCGGAGCTCTCTGTGGCTGTCCCCTCTGCCAGTGCCACCGGAGCTCTCTGTGACTGTCCCCTCTGCCAGTGTCACCCGGAGCTCTCTGTGGCTGTCCCCTCTGCCAGTGCCACCCGGAGCTCTCTGTGGCTGTCCCCTCTGCCGGTGCCACCCGGAGCTCTCTGTGGCTGTCCCCTCTGCC